ACCTTGGCAACATTAAGACGTCCCAGAATTCCCCAGCCAGCATGGCTGGCTGGGGAGTTCTGGGAGTTGAAGTCCACACATGCTGGCTGGGGAATTCCAGACGTCTTAATGTTGCCAAGGTTGAGAAACACTGGAGCTGATGTGGTTGGAAGGACATAGCAAAGAACCAGGGTGTTTGCAAAGGGCTCTGGAATGGTTCAGAGGATCAAATCTGCGGTGTGGTTATCTATTCCCCCTCCCCAGGAGACCCTCTACATTGCAATTTCTAACGGGCCAAGCTGGACCCAAGTGGTCAGGCAGGAGCCACGATCGTACTGTCATGGGGTTCCTATTTTATTTCTGGATTCAGCTCTGCAGCCCGGCTACCCTCTGCCTGAATTCTGCCTTGGAGAAAGAGCGTGCATTTCCTGGCCGAATGTTGCTCTAAGACTGGTGGGCATTCAAAATCCTCCTTCCTATCGAATGGCTCTTCTGAATTCTTTGACAGGCTGAGGACCGGTCCTCTGTGCTCTCTTCCCCTGCCCGACATTTTCCTCCTTTGCTCCGTGCTAAGCGATTTGAGGATGGTTTGCCTATGCAAGAAAGTGAGAGGAGAGGGGAGCGTCCCTCTTCTGACCAGCAACGTAAGGCTGGGGGCCTTGGGGGGGTGGGGGGAAATAGGACAAAACTTTCATCTACTGTATATTTGCAAGGTCTACCCTGGGGCTGAGCTTGCTCAAATCTCCCCATTGACTGCTTTTCTTCATCACTTTTCATGAGGTCTGTTGACCCGCACGTGACGGGAAGAGAAACTGACCTTGAGGGACAATTCTGGTTCTTCTGGTCCTTCTCCAGAAATGGAACCGGAAGGAGTGAGGCTCTCAGTACAGTTTTTTTTCCTTGCTAAATATTGCGGTGCTCCCATGTCACCTCTTGGTCTTCCCCCAGGACATTTAGCAAGGAAGAACAGGCTTTGGACGTGGTGCCCTTCTTCTCCTTGCACTCCCCTCTGTCTTTGTCCCGTATTTTCTTGAATGTCTGTGCGTGGACCGTTCCCTCCGTACGTCCGGTGTTCTGGTACAATATCTCCCCTGCCTTCGGTTTCCTTCACCGCGATAGCAGTTCCTGTCCATTAAATGCTGCTGTTCTCACGGGCGGCTCTGCCTCGGTGTGGGTGTGTTTCATTTTGCTTTCCCCGTGACGATGGGGCTGGGGGGGTCTCTCTGCTTTGCAGGCTGGAAAGAGCAAAGAATGAGATGAGCCCCTGGGATGGCGTCAAAGGGCCTTCTGCCAGCCAGTTCTCAGTTGCTGCCAGCCAGAGCAAGCAAAATAAAACCAGATGCCCAAATATCAAACAGCCTCCAGTGACAGGCAGGGCCGACCTGTGCCTGAAGTGTTGAACGTGCATGGTTCCTCCCCACTTCTTCCTCCTGGTCTGCCCCTCACTTGTGACCTGGCAACCAGACCGATGGCCTCCCTCTAGACCGGTGTTTCTCAAACTTGGCCACTTTAAGAAGTGTGGACTTCAACTCCCAGAATTCCCCAGCCAGCATGCTTTAAGATGTCCACACATCTTAAAGCATGCTGGCTGGGGAATTCTGGGAGTTGAAGTCCACTCATCTTAAAGTGGCCAAGTTTGGACAACACTGACTTAGGCCTATGCAATGTGGGGTGGCATTGCGCCACAGAGGGAAAGCAGCTTTCAAGGGGAAGAAACAATGCAATTTTTATAAAAACTACGCTGCCCAGAGACATTCTGGAATTGGATGGCCTCTAAATCTAATTATCAGTAATAGATTTATACAATCTGAAGAGAAAGCCTTATAATAATAATAATGGGAATAAGGCGCTTGCAAGGATTAAAATAACATTTATTGAACACCCCAATTAGCTTGCCTACAGTACAGCAGTGGTGGTTACAGAAGAACCGGGTATCGAAATTAAAAAACCGAAATCAAAGTCATGTTCAATCGCCAAGTGGAAGATCAGACTGGAGGCCAAAATAAAGAAATTAAGATCAGACGCGAGTAATTTAAAGAACTTGTAAGAGCAAAAATGGAAGAATGTAAGGATCAAGACAAGCCTAATAAAAATATATTGGCTTAGCACCAGAAAAATTGAAGCAGCTTTGGAAATCGTAAAGCAACAAATAACAGCAGTAGCTGGGAAAATTGAACACGATGAGGCACAAATCATCCAATTTAAGCAAAATCAGATATTCCAATCAGACTAGAGGCAATTCTACCAAAGTATAAACGGCAATAGAAATTCTAAAAATGGGAAACTAAACAAAAATGAAACAATCCAGTATCTGTGGGAAACTCAACAAGTTTATAATAACAATGCTGGATGGATAGAAGAATTTGAAGATGAATTTAGTGAAAATCAAATAGAAGAACTAATAATGACAGCAGAAATGGCTAAAAATCGAGTGAGAAGGATTAAAAACTGGACGTTTCCTGGAAATGATCAATTACTGGCTTTTGGCTTAAATATTTGACTAGCTTTCATCCAATTTTAGCTAAACCGCTTAATGAAGTATTGGGCAAAGGAGACATCAGCGAGTGGTTAATAACGGGCAAAACTTATCTGTTTCAGAAAGACGCAGTGAAAGGGACAACACCCGGAAACTATAGTCCAATAACATGCTTACCTACAAAATTTAAATTATTCACCAGCATAACAGCAGACAACATCCAAGCTTATTTGGAAGACAATAACATCCTTCCAGTAGAACAGAAAGGGAATAAAAGGAAAAACGGGGGTTCAAAAGATCAACTTCCAATTGATAAAACGGTTTTGGAGAATTGCAAAAGCCGAAAAACCAATTTACATACGGTCTGGATTGATTAGAAAAAGCTCTTTGATTCATTACCAGCTAGTTGGATCATCAAATGTATGGAAACAACTGGTGTCAGCAAAAACGTTAGAATCTTGATCGAAAAAATAATGACGCCGCGGAAGACCAAATCGGTGGTTGGAAATGAAAAATACAGGCTTGTCAACATTTGGAGAGGCGTCTCCTTTATCATCCTTATTATCTGTCCTTGCTATGGTGCCAGTTTCAGTGATTTTGGGAAAAAAAACAAAGCTCCCACGTAGCAATAAATAAATAAATAAATAAATAAATAAATAAATAGTGAATAAAATCCCACATTTGCTTTATATGGATGATCTGAAGCGTTAGGGACAATCGGAACTCGAAATCCAGTCCTTGACAAATACGGTAAGAATTTTTAGCACAGATATAGCAATGGAATTTGGCCTAGAGCAGTGTTGTCCAAACTTGGCCACTTTAAGATGAGTGGATTTCAACTCCCAGAATTTCCACAACCACACACCCCGGAGCCGGGGGGCTTTGGGGGGGTAAAACACCTCTTTTAATTGGTGTAAAGTTGGTGCAAAATAA